AGGAAGATTAAAGTTAAACACACTAACAGATACATGTTTCCACTAATATCAGGAAGATTAAAGTTAAACACACTAACAGATACATGTTTCCACTAATATCAGGAAGACTAAAGTTAAACACACTAACAGATACATGTTTCCACTAATATCAGGAAGACTAAAGTTAAACACACTAATATTGAAAGAAATCTTGAAGTTTAAGTTTTGGTTGATCAATCCCTTAAGCTGTTCAAGCAGTATGTTAGTGGAAGGGCAAATAGGAATTTAGGTTGTATTTGCAGAAATACTTAATCTAAGTCTAGAGGTTATAATTTCACTGTATAGGTTGCTGATTAAGCCTCATTTGGAGTACTGTGTTCAGTCTTGGGCTCCTTACCTTAAGAATGACATTGAATTGTTGGAAAGGGTTTAAAGGAAGGCTACTAGGATGATACCTGGAATGGAAATGTCATACATAAGATCTCTTGAAAACAAGAGAGTTAGAGGAGACCTGATTAAGGTTTTTAAAACTCTTAAGGGAATTAATAGTCAATGCTTCTATTTTTTTATTTTTTTTTTGAATAGGGAAACCACATGGCTTGAAAAACATTTAAATGATAAGAACTGGCTTTGAGGGTATTTTTATTATTTTATCTTCTTTATTTATTTATTATTCCTTTTTTACCCTTGTTTTCCTTAAATGTCACGTTCCAGTCTCATATAAAGTAACAATAATCTTCTTGTGCTCAACCTTATAACTGCTACAGACAAATTAGCATTGTTCACTATAATCAGACATGAAGAGTTCCAGGCTGTTTCCAATAACCACATCCAAATCTTTATCTAGAATACCACATCCGTTTTCTTTCTCAAGGAAATGCTTGCAAGGCTAGAACAAGTGTCTTACTCTACTCAAAACTTAAACATTTTTCCATAAAATCAGCCACAAACTACATCAGTTAGGATTTTTTAAAATCATTTTCAAACATTATAACATAATTGCATAGGTGATACCAAAATAAACAAGTTATAGACATCCAAAAGTTATTATTATTAAATTTTGAGCAACCTAATTTTTCTGAAATCAAAATACAATTTTTTTTAAAGGTAACTAAAATATGGTATAGTATTTACTAATATCAAAACTTTTAACCATTTTGTAAAATCTAATAAATAAATGAACAACACAAGTTATAAAACAAAAACCATTATTTGTGTTCATTCAATCAAAAACATTAAATTATTACCATCCTTTATTTTCTTAAGTCAAGCCAATTTTTATACACATTTTAAGCTTTTTCATTTATGTCATTGAACTCGAACTAAGCAAGTAAACTTTTTTGAGGTACCTTATCAGAAATTTCCTGAAAGTAAAAAAGCAAAAAAAAAAACAGCAATTTTCTCATCTAACAAACATCAGAAACTTAACAAAAAAAATTAGTAAATTTGTTACACAAAAAAAGCTTCTTCATAAAACTTTGTTGACTGTTATTTAATAATCTTTCAATTTTCATGATGGCCCTCCAAATGAACTCTGATAACAGATTTCAATATATTACAACAATGATTAGATAAGCTTAAAATGTTTTTGAATTCTGCCTCAACCTTTAATTTTTTTTTTATATAAAAAGAAACAATTTTAATTTCCAATAATCGGGAACTTTCACCAAATATCATTCAAAGACCAATATTTTATCCAGAGTTTTTGTTTTATTGTTTATAGGAGGAGGGACTACATTATAAAAACACTTAGGAAATAGGGTATTTTTTATGTAAAACTTTCGTGAAGTAAGGATAAAACAATCCTGTGTGTTATATTTGACTGTTTGCCCATAAGACTTTCACAGACTATGTAAGCTTATTTTTTATTCACAAATGTGAATTGTTTGAATAAATACTCCATCATATAAACCACCCCACAAAATTCTAACTTCTAATTTCAATACTTAATCTTACAATTCCCAATACTGAACTTTCATTTTCCAACTGTATCATTCTAGTGCACAAACAGCCTTTTCACATTCAATCTGTCCAAGCTTCTTTAAACATCTCTAAAATTCTTTACACCCCACTTGAAAGAAGACCAATCTTTTCACTCTCACTTCACATGTTCAACTTACAATAAGAAAACCACAACACAGCATATTATGTTTAGCTGACTTTACCAGCGATTTAAACAAGAAAATATTCATTTTCTTACTATTAGGAACAATAACTGTTAAAGCACTTAGAACTGTGTTAGTTCTTTTCAGTGGTTAAACACTCAGCCAAAAGTTTCAAGTGCTTTTAACAGCCATGCCAAAACCTTTCACTTTCACCACAAAACCAATAATTATCTTATTATAGAAGAAATAAAACCAGTCTGAACTCCAAATCACCAGTTTACACTTCCAAGTTTTAGCTCACTCCCTTCTGAATAGAAAATATATTCTCAACAACAACAGGATGAGGGAACACAAGTTTAAGGATTGGGAAAAATAGACTAAATTCCAGTTAAGAAAGTGTGATTTTTCTAACAAGATGATTAGCTTAAAGATCAGGTACTTAATGATCAAATTATTATTTTATCGAATGGGTCAAACTCAGTCAGATGACCTACTCTCTGCCATAACAATATGGTTCCAGTTCTAGATAGCCACACTACCCTGATCCAAAACAAAAGAAGACTGCTACAGCAGTTGACCAACCAAACCTGATTATGATATAAATCATAGGAAAACAAATCCAAGTTGGTTAATTTTTCAGATATTAACAGTCAGGATTTTGAGTCCAGTATGCAAGTAGTGGAATAATTTATTGAATTTGACCTTTGATCTGCCCTTCTTTAAATTTTTTAAACCTGGACATCTTCAAATCATTCCTGTATGTTAGATTGGGAAACCAAAATTTGAAGTTTTTGAAGATTACTTTTACACTGTCAGTGGCTTAGGCTACTTAACAAAGAAGTTATAATAAAATTAAAATAATAAATTAAAAACCATATGAAAATATCTATAGGCCTACAGGAAGCTGACTTTCAATATTATTCTGTATCATGTACTAATAAACAAATACATATTTCATTTAAAAATTAGTAAGTGTTAGTTGGAATAATAGAAACCCGAAACTACTAACCAGTGTCTGAATTAACACACCTCTACTGAAATGTTTACTACTGCAATAGTTTTACACACACTTGTTGAAAGATGTCAAAATGTAAAATACAGAAAGATAATTAATCATTGCATAGTCCCCATTATGGGAGTATAGATTTATTACGAATGAAAGAAGATTCATTGATGGTTTTTAATAATGTTGACTACAAGTCTAGAATGCCAGACTTTTTTCCATCACATTATAAATCTATAATAAAACATGGCCACAATTTAAAACTAGCTGTCAGATCCATTACAATTCATAGAAATTCACAGCTGTAAATATAAAACTAATCACTGCTGTTTTTAAGATACCCTGGTATAAATAAACAACATAATTTTATTAAAACATAAAACTTCCTACAAAAGTAACAGAAAATTCAAACTTGGTGTATCTTGTTTCACACTGACCACCAATGTTGACATAAGTCATGAATGTGAAAACAAGGAATTTTTAAAACTTTGGTTCACGAGCAAAAAATATTTCTCACTGTTCTCAATATAACACGTAACTTATCCGTAAACCTTTCTTTAATCATATATTTCACTTCAAAAATTAACTATTAAATGTTTTTATTAATATTTTTTCAGAAATGCAATATAAAATATGTGATGAATTTTCCATTTGAAATAATACTGAATATACTCTAAGTTAGTGGACAGAGTAAGATGTGGGAAAACATTTAATATCTGAATATTCATTAAAAAAAGAAAATCAAAACTGATTTCTTAAGATGTAGTATACAATTAAAGGAAAGAGTTCCATATGGCACCCCGATATAGCCTGGATAAAAAAAGATTCTGAAAAGAGTTTATTTTAAGGGGCATATTAATGAAGTAAGTGGTATAATAATGTATTAAAATTATCAGATCATACTATTAATATGATTTATTAATAATAAATATTACTTTGATGAATTTTTTTTTAAATTGAGTGTGGGTGCCATATGGAACTCTTACCCAATTAAAAAGATTTGCAAGCTTTGTGCAATATTACAATTACATTAATTTACAATGGGATGAAAAAGAAATGGTCTTTCCACACAAACAAAAGTCAAAAGTGTGGAATGCTTGTTTTAATTTAAATTTTCTGGTTCCACATCACAGTGTTCCAACTAAATTAGTAACTGATCGAAAGCAACATTTACTAATTTATATAGAGTAATGTGTAAGTTAGTATACTTTCATAAATTTATAGAAACTCGATTACATACGTAAATATTTAAAAACCTAAATCATGATAATTCCAATGATATTCATAGTAATATTATTAGCTCTAACACTAGTAACAAGCTTATACATTTTCAATAAAATACACAGTTACTTCGCCTAATCTGAATCAATATCTTATTCTTACTCAGACTTGAAGTCTGAGCGGTAGTATTAGTATTACTTCACGATATTAATCATTTAATGTTCAAATTCATAGATCATTACTGACATTAAAGTTAAACTAAAAAATAATAAGTCCGGGTGAAGCAGCCTTGCCAATCTTGGAAAGAGGTAACGGAGAAATAAATATACTTAAGTTGATTTATTAAATGATGTTATCAGAGATTTAAATAACGAGTATACCTCATTATAGAATAAATCAGACAATGACTGTAAAGGCGAAGCTCAATTTTTCAATTCCAAAACCATCACCAACTTTTACACATCGTCTGGTACTACTAGTTTGAGAGTACTAGTGGCGCTGATATCAGGCCTGCTGGAAGAGAGCATAAAAACAACAACAAAAATAAGATTGTGTGGAAGTTTTTATTTAAAAACAACCTTACCATTTGTCGTAACCCTTACTCTATTTCTAATGCAGATATATGTATATCTTATATTTTTTATTATTAAAAAAACGAGTTATTTGCAAGAGATAAAAAAATGCATTCCCGTGCTTCTCTAAACAAACGTTTTTAATGATCTAATATTTAACAATGCCTTATGTGTGTGATTTCAACAAAGTTGCTCGTTAATACTAGAAATAAACGACCTTCTAACACCAAAATGTTGTTTTTGTGTAATTAGACACTCATCGTTTCCCTTTACAGCTTCTTCAGGAGCGTTCACTAAAACCGAAACTGACAGTACAAAGCCTTTTTTTTTAGCTTTGTACTGTGAGTTTCGGTTTGTGTTTTAGTGAACTCTCCTGACGAAGCTGTAAAGCGAAACGTTGAGTGTCTAATTAAATAAAAACAACGTTTTGGTATATATAAGGTCGTTTATTTCTAGTATTAGTATTGTTTCGTCTCTGTTCGTTTGTTAATTTTCCGTAGAAATTCTTTATAACAAGCTCCCTCAAGCAAACAAACTTTTAAATAAAAGCATCAAAAATATATTCCAGAACAGTGTATAATGCCCATATGAATAGTTTTTCAAGAAAACGTCAGCATTAACAACAATTTCAGGTAGGCCTAGTATACTGATATTCTATGTTAACATAAACTAGTTTTGTTTGTTGTTAAGTACAAACTACACAACAGGCTTTCTGTGGTTTGCCCACCACTTGTCTGTTTTTAGCATTATAAGCCTTTGAATTACTGCTGAGCTATTGAGAAGGGAGTGTTTCTCACATAAATAACTTGTTAACAAACGATAGTACGACAGATTTGGTTTCTTTGTAAACTCTTAGTGTATATGCACACATATAATTGTTTGTACATGTAGTTAGTTTCACGAATATTAAAATGAGTCGGATTGACATTAAAGGACCAGCCCGGGATATATCACTAACAGCTGCCAAATAATTTTTCACATACTGCATACAGGCTAAACAAGAATGCCTCAAATGCACCGGCTAATTGCCCAGTATCCCGGTGGGCCAGCTCACCCCTGTAGGGCTCAAATGATTAGTAAACGTCCGCAGAAGTAGTACTTGTACAGCGACAAAAAACTTACCGAATGTCAAACGTTTCCGTTTTGCAATATACAACTCAATGCACATTACAGATAGCCCATTTTGTAGCTTTGCGCTAAACTACAAATAAACAAACAGTTGCAGTTCAAATAAATGATCAAATTAAAAAAGGGGAAATATGGCGCTTTTACAACCATTTGTTATGACAGCGGAAGTCACGTGACGCTAGTAATACGTCATGAGATTCTAGAAGGATCATGACTGTTTGTGGCAACTCTAGTCTTTTCTAGGCGCCCTCTATTTTAGTATATAAGCCCGGCAAATAAAGTGGAGATATAATTGCAGATAGAGAGAGATATAGAGACAGATAATTGAGTCAAGCGAGCGGTAGTGACCGTAAGTAAAGTGCGTGAATCGTTGTGAATTATAGCGTGTGTAAGTTAAAGTGACTGTGGAAATTAAGTGTATTACAAAGTTTGTAACGAGAAAGAATAAACTAGTTTTAATTAAGAAAGGACTTGTATCGCTGAAGTTTCTCGGAAAGAATTTTTACGGGAAATTATCAAACGAGCAGATACGTAACACATTATATTGTCCCAGTCTATATTTTGGAACTTACCACATCTTATGAAATGTGGGAAAAATAACAATAATTGAATGTAATTGTTTAAGCGTTTAATTTATAGCAATTTGAAATAATTTATACTAATTGAGAACAATGTTTTTTTCTTTGAAATGTGAAGTATGTCGAAATGATTCGTGGAATTTACGTGCTGTCCTCTTTTAGTTTCTTCAAGAATATGATTCTAAACGTCATAGCAGAATTTCCGTTCGCCGAAAGTGGGCGTGTGCATGAATGTATGGGTTTGCCTTCTGCTTCCGAAGTCGTGGATTACGTTGGTTCCGGAAAAGTAGGAGATATACGTACCGAACACAAATCAGTTCCAACGTATTATCTTCATAACATAAGTGTGAGTATTTTAGAATATTTTAATCCTATTATTGAGTATTAATGCTTAGCGTAAGTATATATATATTTATACAATGAATAGTATTTATAATTAAAGAAAAGCTAATATATTTATTAATTGAAAGTTAAGGCTGTAAGTTGTATCTGCTTATGAAGTAACGTAATTATAATTTATAAAATCCCAGTACAGCTAGTACTAGTAGTAGTACTCAGTAGTAGAACATGTAAGTTGTACAAGATTAATTAACTAACAGTGAGTAACAAGTTTTGAATCACTATCACTTAGTACCAGTACCACTAGTCTAGATAGTTTGCTTAGAAGTTAGAAAAGGTAAGCAGTACACTTATGATACAAATAAATAATTGTTTTGTAGGCCTACTACTAGTAGTACTACTACTACTCATAATACACAGTTATACCAGCAAGGTTATGAATATTTCATTTTTCGCAGGCTTTGCTACACGGGTAAAAAATATAATTCATATAAAATGAGAACTTTATTCAGGTTGTATATTAGTTATTAAAGTTTGTTTTGTTTTTTGAATAATTTACAAGGTAGGAGACGACAAAGGATCATCTGGTCCTTCAGGATTCTTCTTCATTTTTGTACACTCATTGATAATAATGACCCCATAAACAGTAGAAATCTTAAATCTTTTTATAAAATTTCCCATTAACTCCATCATCATCATCATCTGGTGGTTTTCTCCTATACTCACAAATAGAAACCAAAAGAGACTTCTTCACTATATTTGATATTCTCAACTTCAGTGCGATATAACTCACATTTTTACATATCAAGCCATTCCTCTCTCCTCTTTTTACTTTTACTTGTGGTACTCTTTCTCTATTAAACAACCTATAACCTTGTGTTTCAAAGACATTTATGTCATCATAAATATCAACATTTTACCAAGTTTCAATTATTCCCATAATATCGAGATCCTGTATTCCAATTGGTGAAAGTTGTCTATTTTATTATGCCAGTAACAACTTAGCTTTTCATATCTCTATCAGTTCTACTTCATTTAGGATAGCCTTCAACTTCTCCAACCTGCAAACTCTATACACAAATTGCATGTCTTCACTGCACGCCAGTCTCAAATAAAACCCTTGCACCCGTCACACCTTACAAACTGTGAGCACCTAACACCTACACCACTGTTAGCTAGTATAGCCAGGGGATGAATAATCAGTACTGTAAGTACAAGTAACCCACTGACAACACTAACATTGTCTTAGAATGAAATGTTACACCATCTTATTGCTGCTTTATCTTCACAAGAATTAATTAGTTCATAATTCACTAAATTTTAAGATATAACTTATGGGTAGGACCAAAATGCTCGGTATGATTAATAACATGCACAGTGTTTAAGTAATGATTTCGGTAAATTTAGTAATTGGTTTAATTTTTTGGGGAACAAATTATACATTAAAATGTTTAAGAATTTGGGTAAGAAATGTACTGTTGTTGCTTAAGAAGAAATTGGGTTTGGGTGTAATATTTTATAAAGTTTACATCTTTCTAAGTGGTTGAGGGTAGTTAAAAGAAAGCTGACAGGATACTGGAGAGAATTTCATTTAAAGAGGATGTTTTTCTTGATTTGCAAAAGACCTGTTGGGATTTTTCCATAATAGGGTGATCAGTTCTTGTCTCCTTAATGAGAAAAAAAAACAAAACTAATTGTAAAAGAGGAGTAATGCTAATAGTTGCTGTTTCTGAAAACACGAGATTTGAAGTTAAACATAAGAACTAACATATTTTTGAAATTTTAGAGAATGAAAAACATTTGATTTAGGTGTTCCAAGTGGTGTGTAAAGTGAACCACTTGCACGTAGACACATTCTGGAATTAGGCTATTAGTTGATTAATAATTTCTACTAATTGCCCAGCTCTAAGACAGTCTATTTGATTTGGTTTTATTACCTTGAAGGCCTACATCATGACCTAACAAAACTTTAAATTTACTGTTGGACAATTTTATTAACTTTGTTTGAAGTGAACAGTGTGACTCATCCTTTAATGTAACCAGCAAACATAGAAAGTGATTGTTTATTGATTAATTAAAAATGATATTTTTTGACTATTGCAATGTGAAATTTGTAATAATTGAAGCAAAGGAATTATCAGTTTTTAACCATATGTGAAACTTTGGCAAAGTAAGGCATAGTGAAATAAACATTAAAATATTTACTAATAATATTTTATTTACATATATTTTTCTGATGTCTTAAAAAGTACAAAACAGTAGTAGAAAATCAAAGAATTTATTTTAAAATATATTCCTGCACTATTTCTTTCTTTCTTAAAAGTAAGAGAAATTGTGACCCTTGCTTTCTTTGCTGGAACTTGGAGCTGAAAGAACATTTTTATTGATTTATTTATCTAATTTGGTAGATTTTGAAATGTTTTAAGTAAAACAATTACCTTGCACTCATCCCTGAGTTCAGAGAAACAGGTTTGTGTGACTAGGAAGTACTTTGTTTGAGGTCTGTGACACCAGGAATGCCTGTAATTACATGCTAAATAGCTCCAGGCTGCTTGGCCTTCAATTCTGAGGTTAGTGACTTCTCTGCCTTGTAAAGGTGGTTCTTTTTAGTTTCATTGTGATCTGAATGAAAACTGCATGCAAGTGGAAGGTAAGCTATCCCTAGTGGTTCTCTACTAGAAATTTGGATTTAGATAAATTTCTAGTGATTAAAAACATATTTAAAAGGTAAGACACCAGTATTTTGAACTGTTGTTATTATGGATAACCAAGTAAATATATTCAGTAGGCTTACCCAGCATCATATGGTAATCTGTGACTGTTCAGGGTTTAGTGGTTAAAAACAATACGGTCGGATATCTCCATCTAGCCACACACTACATATGTGTGTGTACATGATATATATAATCTCTTTAATTTTTCATGTTATGTAAATGATTTACAGGATATGCTGACTACTTTGGAAGAATAAACATAGAAAGTACTTTTTTTAGTTGAAGAAATTCTTCTGGTAACATGGATGAAACTTTTTAGATCATCTTTATAACTTTCTTCATGTAATTATTTGTGTATTGGTATTGAAACTTTATATTTTATGTTTAAAGCTAATTTTAATAAGTTATTTGTGTGACTTCATTAAAATAACTTGCTTGGAAAAACTACACAGAAATATAACATTCCGAAAAATGGAAACTCAAAAAAATATTCTGAATATGTGTAACTTGTGGTTTATTTATTGTGACAGTAATGTTTCTTAAACACCCAGTTGGAGAACTTTCATCAATTGTTATACACTGCAATGTTTGTAAACCTAATTATTTGGTTTATACTTGGAAGTGGAAGTAAAGAAGAGTGTTACTGTATGTAAATCACACTATATCTACCATATACAGTGCCAAATAGGCTTTTCACACAGTACCAGGGCTCATCAGACTGGCTGGAATATAACAGACATACTAGTGGTTGAGATATTATTTATATCATTATATATTTGGACAAGAATAGATTAAACTGGTGAACAGTGCTTTGTATACATTTTATTTAAGTCATTAAACATCAGATTTAGGTTTATGATTTTAATCAACACCAAATGATTTATTTATTTATTTTAGTTTTGAAATAATTTTGCTTATCATTCAATAAAAATTGTTGAACCAGTAAGCTTGTATTTTTGTGTTCATTATTGATAATTTCAATCCAAGATACAAATAGGTTTTAGTTATTCTTTGAGAAGTATGGTGTGTAGCAACCACTTACGTGGTAGGTTTCACAGAAAATGCATTGTGGAGTCTATATGAAATTTGACCTGTTTGAACAAAAGAAAGAGACTGGGCAACAAAGTTTAACTGTAAACAAAAAATGCTATTGGTTTACAGAAATATATCTACAGACCAACACATTGGTTTGGTTAATATGCTCACAAAGGACATAAGATGGTGGCCTTATAGCTATGAAGTGGAGGGAGATCTAGGGTAAATGCAAATCTGATCAAGGGTGTGAGAATGAACTGTTATAAACTTATTAAGTTGGGTCAACTATCCAACAATGTGTTTGTCATCCACATTATCTGGTTATTCCTGTTAAGAAAAATAGGAAAGACAGTCTTTGGTATTATTTTACTCTTAATTGATTGATATGACCAGAAAGCCCATTTGGATAAGCTTAAATGAATTCTCCAGTTACAGCATCCATGAGAAGACCTATAAATTCCAAGGGAAAGAACCTTGGTATTGTGTGACTGGCTCAAGAATAAGATCAGTGCAGGTCAAAAGCAGTTATCTGCACACTGTTTTTTAACATATGCCAACATATGTTTATGTGAAAGTTTCCTGAACAAGAAAATGTTCATTTTGCTAAACTATAAGAGAAACACTTAACATAATTAAATCATATGACTGTAGGTTTGAGATTTGGACTTTGAGGATTTTAAGTGGTATACTAGAGAGTTAAATCATAAGTTCTGTGGAACACTTTTGATTTTTAGTGAGATAAAGTTGTTACAGTGCAATAACTAAAGTTTGAATAGGAAGTGTGTTTACTAAAAGTTTTACATATTTTTTCTTTTGGATACAATTTAAGGACAACAAAGGACCTTTTGGTCCATCTAGGCTAACCCAACCACCAATTTACACTTTAAAATAAAAATAAAGCACTCAAAGCCAACACTTATCCTTCAGATCTTTATCAAGCCTTATCTTAAACACCTGTGAGAAAATAAAACTGTCTTAGCTGAAGATGACTCCTCTGCCAAAATTTGTGTCCCCTAGTCCTACTGTTCTCACCATTACGTATGAAAAAAGATGAGGCATCTGAATTACCAATTCCATTGACAATCTTAAACACCTCAGACAAATCTCCTCTAACTTTTCTTTTTACAAGAGAAAACAGTTTTGCAGATCTTCGTATATTGTGAACATTCTTCCCTTTGTATCATCCTAGTAGCTTTTCTAACAATTCTCTCTTTTTAAGGTAAGAAGCCCAAGATTGAACTGACAGATAACATGTTTGTTGGCATATCTTATGTGAAGTTAATGGTAAAAAAACATTTTTTCTCATTTTTTTTTATAGGTAAATAACTTATAATGCCAAGTTTCAAACAAAGAGAACACTATACGTGGCCTGATGATGTTGGAATAATTGACATGGAGGTGTATTTCCCGTCTTTGTACGTTGACCAAGCAGAATTAGAAGAACATGACGGAGTCTCTTCTGGGAAATATACAATTGGTCTTGGTCAATCTCAGATGGGCTTTTGCTCGGACAGAGAGGACATCAACTCTCTTTGTTTGACTGTAGTCCAACGACTCATGGATCGGACCAAAGTTGGTTACGAGCACATTGGGCGCCTAGAGGTTGGTACAGAAACAATTATCGACAAGTCTAAAAGTGTTAAATCTGTACTGATGCAACTGTTTGAAGAGTTTGGAAACACAGACATTGAAGGAGTTGACACAACAAATGCCTGTTATGGAGGAACAGCTGCTCTTTTTAACTCTTTATCATGGGTGGAGTCTAGTGCATGGGATGGTGAGTTCGTCCTTTTACTTGCACGTCAATGTTATGGTACTAAAAATCATGAAATCTTATCTATAACTACTTGTTTATTTGAATAAAGTCACCTCATAAAATGTAAAACATAAGAATAAATATTTAAGGATAAAACTTTCTTGTCACACAAAACATTTTTAGCTAACTTGTGATAAATGTTTCTCTAGAACATTTTTCATCCGATCTTGTCAAAAATCTTATGCTCTCGTAAAAACGTTTTCTGGGAGTGAAAATTTCAATTTAAAGTTTTTGTATTTTTGGACAAACCCTGAATTTGAAAGACTGTTCATATTATCCTGTACATTTCTATAAATTTGAATACAATAAAGTATTTTTCAAATTAAAATAAAAAAAAACATTTTTTTTTAATAGGTAGAAATGTTTCTATTTCTTGGTCACATCTAAATTACATCACTGTACCTTATAATGGTGTTGTTGGAATGTATGCAGCACAAGACTGTCCAAAACTTCAGTCAGCAGTATAGGCTCTTGTAGTGCCCCATGTGACAAAACTGGACAGCTGTTGAACAGTATTAAAAAAATACACTTTCTGTAAATTTTTATTATGCTTTCTGACTTTTATTGTTCAGTTTTGTGTTTAGTGAATGAAATTAATTAATTTTTTTTTTTTCAGGTCGTTATGCTGTTGTTGTTGCTGCTGATATTGCTGTTTATGCTAGTGGTAATGCTCGTCCAACAGGAGGTGCTGGGGCTGTCGCCATGCTGGTGGGACCAGGTGCTACACTGACTGTTGAACGAGGTATAAATCTGAAATAATAAGCACGATCCATCAAATCTGTGCCAGAATTAATAGTATCATTATTTAAAACTAGTCTTCTTAATTACCACATGTTAATGAATCCTAGCCATTACTACCAGAACTTACTGTTTTATTTTACTATCTTGTGGACAAGTAATAATTATAATTTATTTAATTTGACTTTGTAAAAATAAGGATTCAATAATTTGATTAAATGATTCTTAACTCCAGGAAAAATGAAATTAAAATGTTCAGCAGGTTGTTTCTTTACAGCTTCATCAGGAGCACTTTTACCAATATATATATATAAGACAAAATAAAATACAGTATAAAAATGCATTTTTTCAAGAGTACATTACAGGAAAATTATTCATTTTCTTTGCAACTCCTAAAATTTCATATAAATATCAACATCGATCCATCAGTCTTCATATGTGCTGAACATTAAATCTGAGAAAAAACTTATTAAGAGCAAAAATGATTATTTTTGTGAGACAATTTCACGAACGAAATAAGACTTTGTCCGTTGACCGATTAAAAGAAATATTTTGAAATGGAAGCATGAATGGAAAAAACACACAAAGAAAGGAACGTGTTTGGGCATGTATTTTTTTTTGTTTGGTTTATATTCATTTTTTATTCATGTTGGTATTATATATATACGCATGATTTTACTGTACCACGTTGAATAAATTGAATTAATATCTTTCTTTGGATACTTCTTATGGAAATAAATTTGGTAGCGGTCTTTACTTGTGCTCAGTAAAATGACAAGGAACAGTGGCATCCAGCGGAAAAAAAACCAGTGGCTGCTTAGTGAACCTGAATACTTTATTCTGCTAGATGCACCCCTTGCATAGAAAAACATTTTTTTCAACAGCGCATTTCAGTCAGTTTCCTTTGCTTAAAAATACATGCAGTGTAATTTGTTTGTATTGAAATAACACATGAAATTTGTGGTTATCAACCAATCAACAAAATACTTGTATAAATATATGGTTATAAAATCATAGAGGGATTGGATAATGATGTTTCATGTTAATGAGAAAAGTTTGAGTAACTTAGTTAATTTCACATCATAAAACACTAAAACTATACAGAAAAAACTAACGTAGTAATAATTTATCATGGTGTGTCCCAAAGTATTTTAGAATAAAGTTAAGTTTTTGCGAATCAAAATGACAGTACTATGTCTAAAAATTGTGAAAAACTGTATGTGGTGTACAACTGGGAAGTGAACAGATGCGTGTAACATAAGTTGTTTGAATAAATTATTATTTCAGCCTTTTTCATTCAGTAGCGTGTGAATCGTGCATGTAAGACAAGTTATGCATGGAAATATCTATTAGAACTATGAATTATTCATATTGGCAGGGGTATAAAATGTGTTTACAAGTTGTTAGATGTACATGACTGTTTCAGTTTAGCGTGAATATTATGATGGTTTAAGTGTAGCTCGAATATAAGTCTATGTATCATGAGAAATCTCCCCATGAATTATCCAAGTTAGTGGTGCATCTAGTGGAATACAAGTCTATGTATCATGAGAAATCTCCCCATGAATTATCCAAGTTAGTGGTGCATCTAGTGGAATACAAGTCTACGTATAATGAGAAATCCCCCATGAATTATCCAAGTTAGTGGTGTATCTAGTGGAGTATAAGTCTACATATAATGAGAAATCTCACCATGAATTATCCAAGTTAGTGGTGCATCTAGTGGAATACAAGTCTACGTATAATGAGAAATCTCCCCATGAATTATCCAAGTTAGTGGTGCATCTAGTGGAGTATAAGTCTACGTATAATGAGAAATCCCCCATGAATTATCCATGTTAGCAGAAGTATAAGATATGTTGACAATTGTAAGATTCATTGTGAGTTAAACACCCATTATTATAAAGCTATCTGATTGCAGTGTATGCTTTACTTCTGATAATGTAGTCTTTAAATGTCAGTTTTTAGTCAGGTAACATTGTTTGTTTCTTGAGACTTATGAACAGTTCATGTGTGTAAAACATGTTTAACATTGTCTCATGTTGTATGATTATGTCTGAGTCACATTTACAACTATTTCCTCTTAAGACTATAAGCTGCATTACGTGTTCAAGTAATTATTACATGTATTTTCTAGTAATTTGACATGGTACAACATATTTTCCTGAATTTTTAAACTAATTTCAGTGTGAAATGCACATTTCTAGACTTGTGAAGTTAATTTTCTAGGCTTTCAACTTGTTGTGACATGTGACTTGTTTACTCTCATTTTCTAGGATTGCGAGCTACACACATGGCACATGTATACGACTTTTACAAGCCTGATTTACTCTCAGAATATCCTAGAGTTGATGGGAAGTTGTCCATCCAGTGTTACTTTCAAGCCTTGGACCAATGTTATCAGTTATTTTGTAGAAAGGCTTTTCTAAAAAAAGGTAAAAAAACTAAAACATTTCTTATGAAAAACATTAAAAGTATGATTTATTTATACTTGGTTCATTTGATCACTCATAGTTGTAGCTGCACTTCCCTCGCAACATTTTCAGTGAAAATTACAAAAAATTGTCCAAGGGGATATGACCCCCAAGAACCCACAGTATGGCTTTGTCACTTGTTTCCTTTTTCCTCTGAAAGTAGCACTGCTCCCTCATTTCTAGTCTTTTGCCTAAATTTATACAACATTTTGTAGATTTCTGCCTATCAGCTTATAACAATTTAATTGTATAATATGCAAAGTGCACTCTTATTGCTCTTAAAGAAAAGTTACAAAACACGATGTAGTTGTTTCTCTAAGTCAGAATTGAATTGAAAATTGACATTCATTGTAAGACATTGCACTACTACCTAAGATCAAACAAAACCTGGTTTTTTTTTCTTTGTATTGATATGCATATATTAGATATATATTTTTTACTCAAGAAGAAATTACACAGTTGTTTATAAATTTGTTTAACTGAAGTAATTATAATATTTAGCGTGCTCTTACCGTTAATTTATAACATTTATTTTATTTCTTTCATAAACATAAAAATAAATTTCTGTGACTACCCCCACATGATTAGTCTAAAATTTGGAACTGGATACCTGCTGTGAAAAAATAGTGGGGAACCTTCATCCTGTTTGTATAATAAAAAAACAAAAAACAGGAAGAACTTGCATTAAATTGAAAACTTGATCTTTGGAGCACATTATACATATACATTATGCACTTGGACTTCACATTGTATAGCCTGTTTTCATGTAGAAAATGATGAAGAAATAATAAAATATCACCTCATATTAAATAGAGTTACTAATGTCAAATAGATTTCTTGTTTTGGAATTCTTTGCATTATCTACTGGCCATATTCTGCTGTTTTTTAAAGTTTACATTATTAGTCACGCTGTCACAGCAAACAAGCATTTATGTGTCTGTTTGAACTTCACCTTTATAAAATTGGCCAGAGACAACACTTACAGTTGATGGTTAGGTTCGATTGACTCACAATATTGCCAGCAGATGGTGCACGTGTTTGCTATTCTGTCATTCACTTAAATCCAACAAAATAAATGCCATGCCTGACATGTGTACATTCACTAGTTTTATGAACACTGTTAATGCCAGAATGTATTCACTTTTTTTCAGGCAGAAACTTAAAAATCCATTTTCTTTTATGTTCTTGAATGAAACCTAAATTTTAATTTTTTTTTTTTGTTTCCCAGTTTCCTATAAATATGTAAATATGCATTCACCCAAATATTAAGTTGATCCAACTAGTGGCTTGATTCCCCACCATGTAAATGTTCAGAACGATGAAACATTTGTTCATAGTGAATGATTTCGTGCTCAGCTTATATTTGAGTTATTTCAGCTCTTTGAATCCCAGTTGGATTGATGGAAGAAAATTTTATTCAACAGATTAAGTCTTTATTTTCATTTTGTCTTGCTAGAAAGAGTTACACTTGAATTACCTTTGTACATAGGAAAAATGATGAGTAGTTATAGGCTCAGTTCTTTGGAGAGTAAAAAATTGAAAATATGTAAAAAAAGAAAAAGCTATTTCCTTACATCTTTAGAAATTGAAGGGTCTGTAAGTTTCATCTTGTACTCTACTGATTTTTGTTTTTTATGTTTCTACTTTGATGGTAAGTGAAGTTTTAATATGATGCCCTCTCATGTCAGAAAGAGACACAGTTGGATTGCTTCATTTAGATAATTAATGGAAGTTCACTGTATTTTCAGGAGACCAGAAAGAGTTCATGCTTGACGATCTAGACATCATTCTCTTTCATGCTCCATATTGTAAGTTGGTTCAGAAGTCTCTTGCAAGACTCGTTCTTAATGACTGTTTGAGAGGAGTGGATGTGGAAAAGTACAAATCTATGGAAGCATTCAGGTAGATTGTGAACATCACTAAAATAATTGGTTCTAGTTTTCAAACATTCAGGTACATTGTGAACATCACTAAAATTATTGGTTCTAGCATTCAGGTACATTGTGAACATCATTAAAATTATTGGTTCTAGAATTCAGGTACATTGTGAACATCACTAAAATTATTGGTTCTAGAATAATTTTAGTGATGTTCACAATGTACCTGAATGTTTGAAAACTAGAACCAATAATTTTAGTGATGTTTACAATGTACCTGAATGTTTGAAAACTAGAACCAATAATTTTAGTGATGTTTACAATGTACCTGAATGTTTGAAAACTAGAACCAATAATTTTAGTGATGTTCACAATGTACCTGAATTTGTTCTAGTTTTCAAAAGTTCAGTCTCTCTTAAGTCTTTTTTTTCCCCTTTGTAACTGTTTAGGTTTTAAGGGTTTTTTTTTGTTACCATTCTGTGTTATCACAAGATTGTTTTTTTTTGTTTTTTTTATCCAGTCACCTGAAGCTAGAAGAGACATATTTTGATAAAGATGTAGAAAAGGCTTTTGTGGAGTTTAGTAAACCATTGTTTGAGAAGAAGACCAAGCCTGGGCTCCAGCTTGCCAACCGTGTAGGGAATATGTACACACCATGCCTTTACGGATGTCTCGCTTCGTACATAGCAAGGTACGTCACATAGCACAGCTGTTAAGTAGTTAGTGAACCATGTTTGAATGACATGAAAGATTAAGATGAAATGAGGACATATTATTTACATTTTTACCATAAAGAAAAATAAATTAGTTATATTTTAATCCTTACTCTAAAGAAAATGATATCAAACAGTTTTACATCCAATCTTTTCTGGTATATTTGAAAATATTTACCAAATAATTATGTTTTATACAAGTGAAACCGTTATCCACTGATATCATAATAAGGTTAAGTTATTGTGAGGTAGTTTCTTCATAAAATGTTTGTCCTTCATGTATGTAAATAAAAGAAATGTATATATCCTGTAGGAATAATGTTTGCTGTATTGTGAAGGGTAAAAAAACATTTAATAATAATAATATGAAAATTTAATTATTTTTTTTATATTTCTGTAGTTTTGTAAACTGAGTTTAAAAAATTTTCATTGTTTTTCAAGTCTTAATTAATTTTTCAAATATAAGTGATAAAGATTACACATTTTTTATTTTAAGTGTACATTCGCCTCACCAAGAACAAAGTGTTAAAGAAGCCAAAGAAAAAATATTTCATATATCTGTTAGAAATATAAAATTGAAGTTACTAAGAAGTAGTTTGTTTCTCTAATCCTTCGATAATTAATGTTGCCTTATATATATATAGTTTATGTGTTAGAGAAGATGTGAGCCCTAATGTAATTTTACTAATAATGTATATTGTTTCTGCTCAAGAGGGTTTAATCATGAAGTTGTTTAATTCCTGTAACAAATGAAACAAGATACTTTCGCTGCTTAGGTGTTGTGTACAATTTACATAATTTTATTATTATTATATCAGAAAAGGAATCTAGGATTATATTTTTAATAATAGCATGCAAATTAAATCTGTTTAGCTTCATTTAAATATTTTGCTACAAAATTATATTTATAAAGCAACCTGAGAATATTTATTACTGTTTGCTCAGCTCCTCATCTGGTGATATGCTTGGAAAGCGTATCGGAATGTTCTCGTACGGGTCAGGTTTAGCCTCTAGTATGTTTTCCCTTCGAGTCACCACAGATGCTAACTTGATGAACAACTTGCATACATCTTTGAAAGCACAACTGGCTTATCTGGATCTAAGGAAGAGAGTGAGTCCTACTGAATTTACATCCATTTTAAAGATTCGAGAGGACACTCATCACCAAGGTTTGTACAGTAATTTGTCTTTAAAGAAAAAAAGCCTTTTCTTTTAACTTATTGTGCTCAGCACTTTAGGGCTGTGGGTGGGTTATAAGGGTGTTGGTTCAATACCACTACTAAACAATCAGATAAGGGTAGCCCAAGAGTTGGTAGTGTGTAATGTTGACTAGCTGGTGGTTCAGTGATAATCAGATAAGAGTTGGCAGTGTGTAATGTTGACTAGCTGGTGGTTCAATGATAATCAGATAAGAGTTGGCAGTGTGTAATGTTGACTAGCTGGTGGTTCAATGATAATCAGATAAGGGTTGGCAGTGTGTAATGTTGACTAGCTGTTCTCTATTCTCTCACTTCAAAATTATGGATGGCTATCACAGATAGCTCTTGTGTAGTTTTGCCTGGAATTGGATAAACAATTCTAACTGAAAGTTAGTTGTACTCTTAAATTGGACTTCATTTTATATTAGAAATATTCCAGAAACTAACATTTTTTTCTGATTTACTGTTATACATAATAATAATTGAATTTCATTGAGACTACAGTGCATGAAGTAATTACATTTTCTTCAGTGTGTAGGTTTTTTTGAGTGATAATAAGGCAGATCTGTATACATATATTTGGTTATTTCTTCACCTTCCAGGAAAATTTCATGTAGTTTTGTATTATGTTGTAATACCAGATTGGGCAAGAATTAGTTTTATTTTGTTATGTGAAGAAAGAAATAAAATCAAAATTGCGTCATTATTTACTTTTGTCATAATTGTGTAAGTTTATGATCTTATACTTCTGATAATCTAATACTTTGATCTAACATTCTGACTGCATTTTTATTAACCCTGAGATTAATTATGGGGTTGAAATGGATGCTCTTAGCATTTCAAATGCAAATTTTTAAATTATTTTAAAACCAATTTGTTTGTGGGCCCATGACTTTGTTTGTTATAGGATGCCTAGTAACATGAGTCACACAAAAAAAGTAAAACATATGATCAGTATATCAGTCACTCTCACTAACTGCTGCTGGGACACCTGTGTGTACTGTACATAAAAAAAGAGTGATTTTATACAATTTTTTTTGGCGAGTTCTTTACGTTGAGTGATGCAACGTACAAGAACATAGTTATTCAATATGATACAGTAGGTGAAAGTCACTGCTAGGGAAAAGAATAAAAATAAATCAGTAATGTGAGGATTAAGGAAATTCAATCCAGGGACAGAGACTTGCAGAAATAAGCCCATGGGCATAAGACTGGGATTTATTTCTCAGATTTATTTTTCATTTGAATGGTAAGGAATGTTCCTATATATATATATATAATCCAATGAATAGATGCTTACGTTTAGTTTTTTTTTGTGTGTGTTCATGTATTTTGAATCAGAAAAAGAATGTATCGTGAGTGTTACCTTTAATTTTGTCCCCAAGTGACTAAGCAGTAAGCCTGAGTGCTTATTACGCTAATAGGTCAAGTTTCAATACTTGAAGTGTGCACATCCCAGATGGCCCATTGTGTAACTATGTGCTTATCAACAAAGCCTTTGATTTGATTTACTGGATCAACTATTGCAAGTTATTGCACACCTGCTGTTAGTGGTGGTGTTCTGAATTCAGACTGATGTGTCTGAAAATGAACCAATTCTGGGTGAATAGAATATGTTGATTCTAAGTAATATTTCTTGGAGACAAGGTATAACAAGAATATCCATGTAATTTTGAAAATATAACTTTTAAACTGCAAATAGTTTGAGTAGCAACAAAGATATAGTGAATCTGAATATTTAATAATGGGAAAGTGATGATAATAATAAAGTAATTTTGATGTCTAGGTTATTGTATTTAAATGGAGCTTTACAGTATATACTATGTAATAAACTAACAAAACTTTAAAGCAAACTTTGTTTTCAGTGATTTGTGAACATATCTATAAAAAATGTTTTGTGATTACAAAGTTTCTTTTTTTTTTACATCAATATAAATATTGCTCTGATTGGTTTAAAAAAACAATCAAAAACAAGTTAAGCTGATCCATAATCTGGGGGAACTGAAAAAATCCCAGTAAATGAAAGTATTTATTGTAACTTAATATTACAAGATATATTTTTTGTTTTAGCTCCTTATACTCCTACTGGTAAAGTGGAAGACCTGTTTCCAGATACTTGGTTTCTTGTACATGTCGATAGCATGCATCGTCGACAGTATGAACGTCGACAGCCAATCCCAGTTTCTGATCAACCCAGACAACAAAAACGTTCAGTTCCAAAGGTAAAAAAAATAAAAAAGCTAAAATTGGTTACCAGTAATTGAAAGTACAGTTTTGAACAGACTACACATCTAATTTTCAGACAGACAGACAGATTTCACAATTTTATTTGGGGTTATTTTATTGTAAATAAGTCACTTCATTTTTTACTGTTTAACAAGATGATTGCTAGAGATAAATCCTTTTTCGTTGCAGCTTACCGAACACTATCAGAAAATATCCTACACGTAGAGCTGAGTGGAATTAATAATTAATCCTCAAGCTCTTTAATTTATTACATTCAATAAGTCGATTATCCTCACATGAGACTTAGATGATTTGAATGATCAAAAATAGTAATAATCCAAAATCCATTGTACTTGTATACTAATTATACACGTACCTTAGGTTTATAAACAGTGTTATGTGTACTTCTTGATGGATTCTCCTGAAGATTGTGTTAGTATTACACTGAAACATGTAGAGCTTGAAGTTTCTTTGAACTTTACAAATGCCCCCCAGTGGCACAGCGGTATGTCTGCAGATTTACAATGCTAGAAACCGGGTTTCGATACCTGTGGTGGGCAGAGCACAGATAGCTCTTGTGTAGCTTTGTGCATGATTAAAAACAAACAAACTTTACAAATAAATGTTTGTGCAAGTAAAAAACGTTGATCTTCGTTTTATTATTTTATTCAACATTTTTGCACAAGAACTGTCAGTTTTTACGCATTGTATTTATTTTTTAGTACTACTAACAATGTTGATACATTATTATAGGAAAGTCTCATTGAACCAGCAGGGTGCAAATTTCTTGGTTATGGAGAAAATGGATTTAACCACTCTGTGAATGGAACGACGACCACACCAAAACCTGTTGTCGTAGCCACCACTCTTAGTCCTCACTGAACAGAAGAAGGTTGTAATACTTGTCTTCTGTAGTATTGGTGGTATTAGTTTATAATCATATGGGGAATTTCTCTGAGATAAAGACAGAATTACCAACCAATTGTGACTACCGGCTGAGTATTCTCCACCTATCGTGTTTGAAAACTTCAAAGTTATTAGTAAATCATAACTGTTTTTGTCATAGATACCAATTTTATAGATTTGTGTTTTCTTCTAAAAGACAAATGGAAGAAGTAGTAATATAATCTTTAATGCTGTGCATGTTTTAATATTTTAGTTTCTTGTTGTGTTTCTATTATTCTTAAAAGATATCAAAGGATTTGAATGTTAAGTATTACCTAGTTTTTGTTTAACCAAAGTGTATCAGTTTATGTTCAGAAAAACAAAATTCCTGTCTTTGGTATTGTTATATGGCATTTGTCAGTTATTTAGATTTTAGCAAAGGTCCATGTGTCAAACATTTGTTTCCCATTGCCTTAACTGTACATCTATCATGCGTCCTCAGCGCTAGGCACAGAAACGGCATGAATTGAATTTGCTCAAACTTTAAAGAATTATGGGATTTGATAAATCCTCTTACAAAAATAAAAAAAAAAGGTTCAAATTGCTGCCGTACATGTAAGTGAATAATAATACCACCTGTGCTTTCATGTTGAGAATGAAGTGTTTTAATTAACACCTCGATTTGTCATGTTTATTAGCTTGCATCAGGAAAACTGCCTCATATTTCTTTTTTTTCTGTGTGTTAAACTTGTATATACGCATACAATATTTAGAATGTATAGCATTTCTGTTAGTAATGACTTAGTGAAATGTGATACAAGTACGTTTTTCTTTTACTGTATTAACTTATTTTTTAGTATCAGTTGCACAGATGCAATTTTGTGAAATGTATAATGAATTGTGGTAGGTAACCACATTTGACTAGTGAGATGGAAGTTTACCTTTAAAAAATAGTGTTTTTACATAACATTTTCAAATACTAATGTCACTTTATTTTTGACGAGCAATCAATTTCTAATCATTCAAATAATTTCTCCTATTTTCATGTAACCACGTCTATATTTACTGTATAAGTTATTAAATACTTTGAGATTAAAAAATCTGTGTATTTCATTTGTTATACAAAGTTATTTCCAAAGTTAGATATAGATCTAGCTCATGCTTTCAAAGCCTCATGACTGAAGTTTTGTAGGTTGTTTATTATTAAATAATTTGGGTAACTTTCTAACGATTTTATTAGCATAATCAATATCATACACTCTAGAACAAAGTAAGATTTCAAAATATTTAACATGAACTTGTAATTTAGGATACTATCATGCTACTTCTTAATACATTAAGATCTTTCTAGCTGGCCTGTCGTAAGGGCCCTCGACTTACAGTCTGTGGGTTGAGGAATCAAAACACATTGCCAAACATGCTTGCCTTTTCAGCCATGAAGGACTTGTAAGGTGATGGTGAATCCCATTATTTTTTTGTAAAAGTAGCCCAAGAGTTGGTGGTACATGGTGTTGACTAGCTGCCTTCTCTCTGGTCTATCACATCAAAATTAGTGATGGCTAACGTGAAGATAGCCTTCAAATAGCTTTGATGATAGAATTATCAATTACTCATTTAGTGTAAGTTTGTGGTACAGGAGAGTAAATACTAGAAACAGTATACTTTAAAAACTGGAAATATGCATTTGGAAGTTTCTAGAGGTTATGCAAGTGCAATATGCAAACTGTACGATGGACAAAGGTATTTTTATTCTTCACATAAACGTCGCCTTGCACTTTGACTAGTCAGAGCAGCCTAATTAAGACTGATGTCAGTTTACAGACATATTTTGAGTACAAAAATTTTTGTAACATAAATGTTTTTCTTGTGTTCAACAAATTTGTTCATTTTACCCGAAGCTTGCCACATTTTGTGTAGATGCACAAGATTGTATTCAGTATTCCTTCTCCAATACTGAGATGGTTCGTTGGACTGACCCTGTACACATTAGATATACTGAGCTATAACAGTGTAGTTGGGAAACGTAATATACAAATGTAAGTACACAAGCCAGACATAATGTGTCAATATTTGATGTAAAAAAAACAAAAAACAGTTGAAGTAGTATTCACTAATGACATATTGCTTCACAGAAAAAAAACTGTAATTGCTAATTTGAGTTAATCATTTTAAAACTGTTTAGAAACATTTAGTAACCATACACCAACAGAAATTTGAATAAATAAAAACGATGCTATAAATCTCAGTCACAAAAAGAAATGTGTCCTAAGTTTTTTTCTTTTAGCAGGATTTATCACAAGGATACAAATTAAGTACTTAAAACCTATGGTGAAGTAAGAAAATAAAAAAAAATATATATTGTGTAAAAAACAGGTACAGAAATTATCAAGCTTGTCATAAACGTGTTAGTCATGAAATGATAAAGAACACTTGTAAGGCCTGTTAATTGTCAGCATGAGACTATATTAGGAATGTAGTGTTAAAAATGTAATAAGCGTAACATAATATCTTACGACGAATATAATGAATTAATTTATGTTTCTTATAAAGTAACATACTGATAAAAAATGATCTTTTTGGTTCTTCAGAAAATCATTGGTCCCCTCTTAAATTATAAAGTGCTGGTCTTTATTATTGGATCTAAAACTCTGTTTTATGGAGAATAATGCATTAATAAGAACAAAAACAACAGAGAATGAGAATACAAACATAATTATTTGAATTAAAGTTTTTATTTATTTACTTATTTTGATTTAAATATTTTTGTCTTTATCTGAATCACGTTAAATTTTATAGTTTTAAGTAAAATCATCATTTTTAACTTCACTTACAAAAGTACAATGGAAATATTTATCAAAAATGTTTGTCGTTTGAACTTATTTCTTGACCGAAAAAGTTTAGGCTTTATTCAAAGAGTTCTCAAAATTTTAAAATCTAACAGTAATGCAACATGCCCTCTGTTTCTTGTATATGAATATTGTTGGGTATCTGCTTGTTTGTTTGTTTCCGGTAGAAATTCTTTCCGAGGATCTTCAGCGATACGAAACACACACTTTACGGCTCACTAGCTCAGAACTAACAGGGTCATAAATTTCACGGAACTCAAGTTGACTATTGCTCTCTCTTCATTCATATATCTCTGCTGGCTTTCTCTGCCAGGTTTATATACTAACGAAGAGGGCATTTCGAACCAACTCGGACTTCCCCGATAATTCGAGAAACTCATCACGCATGCAACCAGCGCCAACGTGCCAGCAGTGTTACGTGACTTCCGCTGTCGTAACAATATATTTGATCATTTTTCATAAATATTTTCGTAGTACGTCAATTATTTTACGAGAAAAATCTACTACGATTTGTCACAATAAAATTTTATTTAAAGTAGGTGTAAACAAGTTTTTCAGTTCAATACAAACACAAACATTTAGTTGTAATACTTACTGTAAAACCTAACCATTTGAACTGAAACTTTAAGATTTATATTTTAATAAATGAAAGGTTTTATAATTTAATATTGTTTATTATGTATTTCAACTAAAGTGCATCATTCGGATTTTTTTCTCTTGGGCTTGTACTTTTAATTTTATTGCATTATTCTACCCCTCATATCTAGTGACTCAGTGGCAATTGAAGGCTTATAATGCTAAAAAACCTGGCTTAGATACATGTGGTAGGCACAGAACAAATAGCTCATTATTATTGTGCTTATCTTCAAATAAACAAATAAAATTCTGGGAAAGATAATTTTAAAACATTCTTTTGTGTGTGTATGGATCACCACTATGCATTCAGAGAAATAATGTCTTTACTCATAATAGATGACACAAATTCATTAATTGTTTTACTTGTAAAAGCATTGTGATGAAACGCATGCATAATATACATAAATTATTGATTCATATTTATAATCACAAAGCTCCCATAAACACGAATTTATGGGAGCTCTATGTTTATAATGACAAATCATAGGTGACTATCGTTAAGAAAATAACAGAGGTATTATAAGAAAATCGGGAAAAGAAAAATCTGTTTTAAAAGGAAAATTTACAACAGCGTATTATTGCAGAACAATATTTTTTAAACTGTGGGTTAACGAAAAATAACTTATAATCTTTAATTTAACAACAACAACAAAAAAAGACCAAGCCTTCCTCGTGTCAGTTTATCAACCCCAATATAACCTTTGAGAATATTACTTATCAACAAAAATGTTGACCTTTTAAGTAATTTGTGCCATGAAGAGTTGGAATTCATATCAGATTAGTATTAAGCAAATTAGCATATTATTACTTTCAGAGTGAATTCTTATTGCTAATTGTGGTAATACAGAGAGGGCGCTGTGCTTAAAAATATTTAGCGCTAAATAACACGCAGTGGATGTGTTTATCATTTTGTTTAAGCTTTAACTCTTAAGTTAATTTCGTGTTTATGCTAGTTTATATCCGTTTTAAGTTATGTTTCTTGCATAGTTTAAGAACATCTTTTTAATACCATGATGGAAAATATAGGAGATAAGTTTGAGCATATCCGGGTTGTAGGGAGAGGAGCATTTGGGTAAATAGCATGGTTGTTTTTAAATTTTAATTCAAACATAACAGTAAATTAGTTACTATTATTAATATTAGTAATAAGTTTATAGTTACTAAATCAGTAAATAGACTACACTTTGTTTTTATAGTGGGACGACGTTTCGATTAATAATTCATGCTGAGGCCTTGTTCGATGCGAAGTAGGTATTACGGTACTCGACAATCGACTTCAAACAGGCAGGAGCAGCCCATTTAAATTTTCTACTGTGTGCACGCCCTAAAATACTCTTGAAAACATTTCTAATTATTGTTTTATTTTTAAATAGTAGAAGTTATATAACTTTAGTTATAGTATAAACTTAAAACTTGACAGTGTACTGTCACAGTAACAGAGTTATTTATTTATTCAATTATTGAGTTACTAGTCTTCGTAATTTGCGTTTTTGACTTCAGAACTTCATTATCTTCACATCCAGACAATGAAGGTCCATTTGCTCTTTCAACTTTAAAGCTATCACTGCAAACTCATCCTTGAGAAAAGTAAAAACTTAAGACAACCCTTTTATTTTTCAGAAAATTTGCAATTCTTCCTTTAAACTCCTGTAAAGTGTCACTAGCTTCTGTGGCATAATGAGGGGGGGGGGGGGCACTAAGTTAAAAGCTAGTTTACCCAGAATTCAGTTGTTCCCATGAGACTAAAGGCTCACTGTCTTTCAAAAACCAGATAATTTGCCCAGAATGTAGCTGTTTCCTTAACACTAAGGCTTATTGTCTTTCAAAAACCAGATAATCATGACAATATGGGGGAATACAGTACCATGGTAGGTAGGGTTGCCTTGTAAGGCTAGAATTTAGAAAGTAAGAGTGTAAATGGTAGGTGGAGTTGAGATTTTTCTTTGGGGGGGGGCACCAAATTATGTTTTGCCCATGGGTGCTAGACATTGTCACTATGCCACTGACTAGCTTTTACTACCACCAGTGTCAGATTTAGACCCTTTGGGGTCCCCCATGCAGTACTGCATTGCTAGTGGACCCCATGCAATAGCATGGGTTGCACTCTGTCTAAATCTGGCACTGACTACCATTGATGATAACTCATTTTGTAAGCCATCTGTACTATCTGAAAAATATAACTGTCTTAATGGAAATATAGTCTCAATTTTCCAAATTTTCAACTTGTATTGTCTCATTCTGTTGTCTTCACAATATGGCACAAAGAAACCACAGGCTTTCATTTTTTTATCCCCTAGATAATATTGCAAACTTCCATAAGACCTACTTACTTTTATTTTCTCTTGAGAAAGTAAAAGATCGTAACTAAGGACTGGCATGTCTTAATGATTAGTGTTTTGGACTATGAATCCAAGGGTCCACAGATTGTCCAATTACCTCAAAATTTCACTAAATATTGAGGTTGTGGGTGAATTATAAGAATGATGGTCAAATAACAAAATTCTGTTACAGTAGTCCAAGAGTTAGCAGTGGGTGCTATTGGTTAGCTACCCTCCCTTTAGTTTGTTAGTTGGATGACTAACACAAATAATCATTGTGTACAGAGCTGGGTGATTTGTGGAATTTGCTAATCGATTAATCATGAAGCTCATTAATCGATTACATTCAACTAATCTGTGATTCTCACACGAGACTTGGAATAATTGGAATTGCTAATTTCAATGAGTTGATTATTTTTCTGAGTCATGACACTTAATCAGTTAACCTAAATAACCTTGAATTAATTGAAAATAATAATGAGAAATCATAATAGCAATATATTATTACTTGGATAGTTTGAATATTTCAAAACCATAAAAACTGGAAACACTAATTTTGATTAATTGAATAATCTATAAGACACCAATTAATGCTGATAGGTAATCAAGTTATTTGCCCAGCTCTACTAGTGTAGCTTTATGCAAATATTTAAAACAAACAACAAAAGAAACTTAACCTTGTTGTCACTGGAATCGTTCTGGTACCTCTCCTCTGAATTCTTTCCAATAAGACCTTTTCCTTTCTTAGATAAGGAGACCAAGACTGTGCACAGGCTAAACTACTAATAATACAAGTGTTTGGGGTCAAGAGATAATTACTTTTTTTGACTTCTTGAGAATTACTTTTTTGCATTGATATTATTAACGTGAAACATTGTCTGTCACTGCAGAGTGTGAGAAACTCAAACTAACTTGAAAATGAGATTGGTGTAGCCTGGTTCTTGGGGCACTCAACTTGCAATCTTCAGGTCATGGGGTTGAATCCTGTCACCAAACACGTTTGCTCTTTCAGCTGTGGGGGTGTTATAATGTTAGTGTCAGTTCCACTGTTTGTTGGCAAAGAGTTGATGGTGGATAGTTTCACTAGCTCCCTTCAAAGTTATGAAATTAACAAAGAAATCTATAAATTGGAATGTATTTGTTATATATATACACCTACCTTAAGGACATGGAACAAAACACTTTAAATTTATGGTCGAACAAAATTAAAATGTTTTTTATGTACATATATAAATGTGAAATCCTATTTGAAAATAAAAAAAAATACTTGTTTATTGTTTAGGTTTACTTGAAAATATTATTTTCAGTCTTGTTCATTACTTGAAACCATAAGGAGAGTAAGTGATTATTAAAAATTTAAAAATAGACATAATTTGCATTTTATGGATGATAAAAAGTTTTTATAGATTTTAAAATAATGTACTAAAACATAAAAAGTAAGAAGTTCCAATCTGGAACAAATATAAATATCGTAATCATGTCTTATAAATCTAATTTCCTAATGTCATTTTCTAAGATTATAATGTGAAAAAACTAAATTTATCAAAAGTAACATGATTTATGTTTCTTAAACTACATGCACTTATGAAAGTTTTAGCAAAGTTTCAAACAATTTCATCCATCACTTTTATTATTGGAATGAAATATAGCAAGACTTGCATTAGCTATGCAGAAAGTTAGTATTTGACAGTGATTGTGTTAATGTTGAGCTCTTCTGTTGCTAGACTTACTTGTAGTGTATTTTATATAGTCTTTCTCACTTTCAGCTCTGTTCACTTGTGTCGAAGACTTTCAGATGGAAAGCAAGTGATTATCAAACAGATACCTGTTGAACAGATGACTAGAGAAGAGAAACAACAGTCCCTGTCTGAAGCAAAGGTTCATTCTAAATTGGACCATCCAAACATCATTGCTTACTATGATCATTTCCTCGGAGAGAAGTCGATTGTTATCGTCATGGAGTATGCTGCTGGTTAGTGTTGAGTAAGATGGTGTATTATAATATCACACAAATGTAGGTAGAATTTTAGAAAATTTGTGGTTTTTTTCTGGTACTTTTAAAATGTGAAAGTTTAAAATTTCTACTCATATTGTGTTGCATTGTATGAACAGATATTTCAAAAAATTGACAATATTTCAAAACAGAGTATTTAATTCTTGACAATTCCTCAGGGACTAGATTAAGAATGAAGTATTAAAAATATAATACACCTAAACATAATGACAAGTATAATTAATTATAATCGTACTTCGTTAGCTTGTAAAAGGTGTTCACACCATAATTGTTGTTGTAACAAATGGCTTACGTAAATAGTGTTCTGACTGAAACTGTGTACATTTTATTTCAGCCAGTCTGAAGAGCTATGTACTGAGTGAATTGGGTTGTTGATAATGGATATGATGGATACAGTGTGGTTGGAATACTATTATTATACATTTTTCTAATTCTGGAAAATCCTTCAGGGACTAGATTAAGAATGTAGTGTTACAAAATATAATAGGCTAAATATAATGTCATATGACAAGTATAACTAATTACAAGAGAAGAAACTTAACCCATCACCTAAAGAATCTTTAGAAAGAATTTGCAACAGAAATAGTGAAACAACTAACAGTATAGAACAGTGTTACTCCACACATCTATGACTTATTAAATTTAAAAACTATCCTTTTTTTGGCCTATTTATGGTTTATCTAAAATTCACAAACAAGGCTTCCCTCTCTGGCCCATTGTTAACAGCAGAGATTCACCATATTATTCCTTTGCGAGATATCCATTGGATATATTATTTCAGTTAATAAGTAAAATGTCCTCTCCTGTTAAGAACTTGGATCACTTTGTACAGATAAAAAAAAGCAACCTCACAAGAAACAGTGATTATCTTTCATGCTCTGACTTCTTCACTAATGTATTGACACGCTACGACAGAACTCTGGCAACATCCAGAACAAAGGAACTCCCAACCTACTTCCAACTTGAAGAAAACTAGAAATAAGAAGACCAAGCCTTGGGCTCACCCCTACCACCAGTATTCAGTAACCTCTAAATGGAACTCCTACATAACGGCTGCTCTGTTCCCAAAATTTGACTTGGATATATTGATGATACATTTGGAATATGACCACACACTAAGACAAGATTCAAGAATTCATGAACAAACTACATTCCACGATGCAACTGACAATTGTGTGGGGGGATAAATTTCCTTTCCCTGATGTAATGGTTAACAGACCTGAGGTATAAGTAAAAACCTTGAATATAAACTGAACCAACAGACTAGCTAGTTTAACCACCAGGTGTCATAGACTACCTAGTTTAACCATCATATCCATCTTTTGTCTTGCACAAGTTGCTTATGTGAATCTATTAACATAAAAGAAATCATCAGTGTAACATGATTTTTATCACAGATTTTAGCCTATTGGATTCCTTTGTTTCACCAACATTCAAACCTGTGCTTTCACCACAGTCCGATTATAAATCGTATTGTTAATGTAATATTTTCAAATATCGTTACATTTTACAAATCATTACAAATGGGTAGCAGTAGAATAAATGAAGTCTCTTTAATACTTTCAAGTATATTTTTTTTTCACAGGTGGCACCCTCTATGACTATTTGCAACAACGACATGGAGCATTTTTACAAGAAGAGGTAAAGAACTTAAGTATGTTTTTCTACCTCTTCTTGTAAAAATGTGTAGGTTACAAGCTGGTAGATGTTCTTTACCTCTTCTTGTAAAAATGTGTAGGTTACAAGCTGGTAGATAAACATACTTAAGTTCTTAAGTATGTTTATCTACCAGCTTGTAACCTACACATTTTTACAAGAAGAGGTAAAGAACTTAAGTATGTTTATCTACCAGCTTGTAACCTACACATTTTTACATTTTTGCTAAGTATCAGAGAATGATAAAATTGAACCAATTGTATGAATAATTCAAACTGCATGACTTTATGTTGTGGTTGTATAAGAATAAGTGAAGTACAGTTCTTGTTCTTTTGGTTGCTGACTTCAGTTGTAGTCTTGAGAATATAATCTGTTTTGAATAGGGGGAAAGTTGACAGCATTGTGCTTAAGTTCCTCAAAGTGGTGCTGTTTATCATAAAGAGTTTGGAACACTGAAAGATGTCTAACAAAAGCTTCTCACAAATATTAAAGCTGTTTGTGAAAGAGAGCATAATAATTAGAATCATTTGTGTGAACAGAAGAAGTATGGAAACTAAAAATTGAGAAATATCTTTTTGCTTTTTACAGAAAATTTCATTTTAATTTCAAAATTACTATGTGTATTGATCAATTCCAATTCTGATCTATATAGGTAGCTTGCTTCGATCAGAAGTTATTGATACTTTTCATAAGCTTGTTTTTCGAAAACTTTCTAAATTCTTTTTCTTTCTCTCCTTAGGAAGTTCTTAATTTTTTCATACAAATTGTAATGGCCTTAGACCATGTGCATTCTCGTAAAGTTCTTCATCGGGATTTGAAAAGTCAGAATATTCTATTAAATGAAAGAAAGGACACTTTGAAAATTGGAGACTTTGGTATTTCTAAAGTTCTGGACAGCAAAACAAAAGCCTCAAGTGTGAGTCTTTTTATGAGTAAACATGTTTTTGCAAAATATTGGAAAACTGAATTGAGATAAATAAACAAGTCAGCACAAGTCTAACATAAATTTTTAGCAACATTCCGAATGGATGCTCTTCATCAGGCATATGTATATCGTGTTACAGAGAAGTTAGGCCTAACTATTCTGTAATGCAATTAATACCATCTGACAAAGAGCATCTGTATGAAATGTTGCAAAAAAAATGAGATTTTCATTTAAATTATTTGTGCTAACTTGTTTATCTGAATTGAATCTTTCTTTGCTAACAGTATACAAGTTATAATTATAAGAATGAAAAAAGTGTATTTTTAGACTCTTGAGACTAAATGTCCCTGTAAAAATATTACCATGACCTAATATGGTCTCTAACACTAACTTTATAAGAAACCTGTAAAATAATCTACTAAATAGTAAGTAAAAATGCTATTAAAATTATTTTCTTTATTGTAACAAACTATATGTGGAAAGGCAAATGAAATTGTTTAAAAATTAGGCAGATGGTAAAAACCAACTTAGTTTAGATACTGTTTAATAATTCCTTTATTGGGATTCAGAAAATTAACTGTTGGATAGTGAGGGAAATTCTATAAAACATTATCTGGTGGTGAAAAGATTAAGTGTTTATGTACTTACTCTTTATTTTAAGACATTTTTGTTACTTAGCATGGTAACAGTGTACTGGTAATTAAGTATTTGCCATATTTTTACATTTTTGATTTTTAGCTGCTAAGTTAGGCTACAGATAGCTTTAGACTAAGAGTAGATGTTCTTATCACAAGTATTACCATGGTAATTTTCAGTTAACAAGCATTTTTACATGCTAAAAAATTTAGACCTCAAGTAATATAGTTATACGTAACAGAAGTTTCACAAAGTTTCGAGTCTGAAACATTACATTAAAATCACAGATATTATAATATTCTAAAGTGTACCAAATATAGTTACATATAATAAAGAAGTACATCGTTCATTTACTGAATGTACAGTGTTATGATAATTATTGCATTCCAAGCAGTAGTGGATACATTTGACATTATTGAGGCTGCAAATAGAGGTATGAAGGTCCAAACGACACAATAGTCGGGAAATAATATTGGAAGAGACATTTTTTTGGTTTGCGCATAATTCAGCAGCTGTTTTCATGATGCACCAACTGTGTGCCCCCTTATATCCCATAGTGTCAGCAACTGTTTCCAAGGTTGTTTACAGCTAACAAAGATACTCAGAATCACAAGCTAGACATTAAAGGATTGTTGTGTAATCTCATTAACTCTACTGTGTTTTATATTTAAGATAAAACTGTAAATAGTCTTAGTCTGTTAAGTTGTATAATGTTAAGTGCAATTTGAAGCATTCTGTTTTGATTGATTTAGTATCTCCCTCTCTCTGATAGGTTGTTGGGACACCTTGTTACATCTCTCCAGAGCTTTGTGAGGGCAAACAGTATCCTTTTCATAATACATGATGAAGAATAGCCAACTATGAGAAGTATTTTTAATTTTAGCATAAAAATCACTATTTACTCAAACTGACTTAGTAAAGGCTTTGGAAATTCACAGATAAACCTTTACTAGAAATATGTGAATGAAATTTTTTGCATGCAACAGATGTGTAATGTTTACTAAAAGTTTGCCAAATTTCTTGAAGATTAATGTGGTAAATTCAGCATCATGATTTTTGGTCAAATAACAGACCCATGGAGAAGAGGGGTCAAGGGATCTCAGTGTATCCTTAAATGACAACCCTCCTATCCATCTCTGGTCATTTTAATAGTCCTACCCTCTATCCTCTCCAACAACGCAATGTCATTCCTAAGATAAGGGCACCAAAACTACACATAATACTCCAAATAAGGCCAGACAAATGAGTTGTACAACAAAACTATGTGCTACAGTGTACGAAATACAAAAAAAAACTCTTCAGTTTTCTGAGTAACAAATGTTTCTGATTAAAAAATATTATCATGTGCCTATTATTGTTCTGTAAATATGATAAATTCAAGCTAGATTATGATTATTGTTTTTTTTTTGTGAAAACTTTAGATGGAAAACTTTGGAAATGTTAGTTACTTAACTATTTTTTGCCCAGTGACATTATATCAGTCACTTATGAATTTTATACTTTAAAATTGAATACTTGGAAATAAATTTGTGTCTGATACAGGTATGAAACATAACTGTTGAATATTTTTTTTACCTAAACTATTTTATTATTGAAATTTACATAAAATGAAATAAAACCATTACATTACATAGCTATATACTATGCCATCATGTGACACCTCCATAACTGTTGCTCTGATATAAATGTTACAATATATGCCATTAAAAAATTAAAATAAATAGTATTTATTTCACTATATCTCATTCATAAAAGTTACCTTTGTACTACAGTTTCAAGAAGAAAATAATCTAAAATAACTTCATATTTGTATGTTGTAACTTAATACATTATTTTAATCTTTTATTTTAACACAAGCTTTCAGCTCAATTACTAAAGACATCTACAGATGACTTGATGGGAGAGATCAGACAAAAATGTTTTTTAAAACTTAGTAGGTCATTTACCCACATAAAAAAAAAATCACAAAGACCATGTTTTCAGCTACATTTTATATTCTGACACATTTTTATTCACTTAAATATTTCTATTCCCCAAATAATAATTACAATGGGGACATAAACAAAAAATCTAATTTAGGTTTAGTAGTTTTTTTTTAAATTAGTTTTTAGAAAACAAATGTTGATAAAATATTCATCAGTATAAATTCTAAATCTGAACATTTCAGTTAGTTTTATTTTTCTGTAGGTGATTTGATGGAAGAGATCAGACAGAATTTTTAAAACGTAAAACTTTCATAAAAATCGTGAGGTACTGGCTAGAAAGGGTTAAAAGTGATGCAGAAAAATTTTAGATATAAGAAATGTACTCATTCCTAATTTATTTCTTAATTGTACAGAACATGTCTCAGCACCTGAAATATTTAAGTGTGAAAGAAATGTTTGATATTTTGATATTTGAATTAAAATAGACAGATGAATTAGAATTTTTTTAATAGTTTAGTACACACTTTTAATTGTTTAGTACACACTTTTATTTGTTTAGTACACACTTTTATTTGTTTAGTACACACTTTTAATAGTTTAGTACACACTTTTAATTGTTTAGTACACACTTTTAATTGTTTAGTACACACTTTTATTTGTTTAGTACACACTTTTTAATTGTTTAGTACACACTTTTTAATTGTTTAGTACACAGTTTTAATAGTTTAGTACACAGTTTTTAATAGTTTAGTACACACTTTTTTAATTGTTTAGTACACACTTTTTTAATTGTTTAGTACACACTTTTTTAATTGTTTAGTACACACTTTTTAATTGTTTAGTACACACTTTTAATTGTTTAGTTTGTTAAATGCAAAGCTGCCTAATGGTATTTGTGCTGTTTCTCAATTTTTAGCCACTGGATAGTTTTCAATTGTAACAATATAGGAAAATAAAAACTTTGGCCAGGTGGTTAGGTTGCTCGACTTGCAATCTGAGGGTCGCGGGTTTGAATCCCTGTCATACCAAACATGCTCTCCCTTTCAGCCATGGGGGCATTATAATGTGATGGTCAATCCCATTATTCATTGGTAAAAGAGTAGCCCAAGATTTGGCAGTGGGTGGTGTTGACTAGCTGCCTTCCCTATAGTCTTACACTGCTAAATTAGGGATGGCTAGAACAGATAGTCCTCGTGTAGCTTTGTGCAAAATTCAAAACAAACAAACAAACAATAATAAAAACTTCTTCACATAAAGAAAATGGGGTATTGAGGAAAAGTAAAAGAGGAGCAATTAAAACCTTTTTTATTTTGTCTTACTCTCATGCATTTTTGAGGATTGCATATGTCCTTACAGTGTAGATTCACTTCTTTTCTTTCAATAATGAAGTATGAAGTAGTTTCATTTTAAAATGTCAAGGTAGATTATTGTTATATCTGGATGATGTATTATAAGATGATTTCCCATAATGAGGAAACATTATGACGATTCTTTTTGAAAAATGTTTTCATAAGATATTCATTTAATGTAATCAAGTTACTTACTTTAAAAGGTTTTAAGTAAAAGATAAATATGTTTATTTTCAAAGGGTTACATCTGTATTAGTATTTGTAGGGTTACATCTGTATCAGTATTTCAAAATTGTCAAATGTTTTTAATGATGAATTCTCGTAGTTTTTGCCTTCATCATCATGTTCTGAGCCTAAGATTGCTACTACCAAAATTAGTCCTTTTTTCATTTGTCTTTAGTGAATTTATCTTTAGATGATTAATATTTTTAATTTAAAATAAATACTATGTTCTTAGTGGTTTTGTTTACGTGCGATTTTTGAGATTTGGCACCTTAACAACATTTTAGCTATAACCAGAAAAGTGATATATGGGCCCTGGGATGTGTTTTATACGAACTGTTAACATTGAAGAGGCCATTTGAAGCCACAGTGAGTAGGTGGAGATGACAAAAGGACAGAGGAATTTAATTTTGGATATTATTTAAGACAGTGGTTCAGGATTATTTAAAGATGAAACAAGTAACAAAAAGATTTACTTGTAAACATTTAAAAATGGCAGGAAATGGTTCTAGTTGCTCTAAGGGAAAAATACTATGTGGTCACTGTTTCATACAAGTTACTTTGTTTGACTATTTAGGTAAAATATTCACCATATATTTTTTTCCCCTTAAAGCAATTGTTTGTATTTTCAGATATATTTTATTTTCGTTATAATACCGGGGCTTGGAAGGAATTGATATTTAACATACTGGGCTAAACACACAATACACTTTCTGCTGTGTTGGTGTTATAACTTTGGCCATAACTCTTGCTGTCTGGTTAACAGTAACTGTGCAAGGTAGGTGTTGATAATTTTGCCCTCCCTCTGGACAGTGGTTCTCAATTAGGAACCTTTGAGTCTGTGACCTGATTGTTTATCCCATGTGTTGCATAGGGTGAATGTTCAGATTAAAAATAACAAATACCTACCAAATTATGTTACCTAACAAGTCTACCTTTTCAATTTTAGGCTTAATGAACACAGATTTTTTTATAGCTTTATAATAGAAATATTGATTAACCTTCATAAGCTATTCCTAAGTGCAATCTCCAATCGAGTGAGAGAAAAACCCAAAATAATGTAATGTAAGGTAAAGACATGTCCATCCACTAAAAGGCTGAAAGTAAAAATATTTTCAAATTTAGGTAAGGTAAGAAGTTTGCATTAAAAGGCTAGAAGTAAAAAAAAATTAACACTGTATAAGTTAACCTTAAGTTTCCCTGACAAGAATAAAAATGAAAATGTTTCTGAACACTAGGGTAGATTTCAAATAAAAGGCTAAAAGTAGAAATATTTTTCAACAACACATAAAATAATGACAAGTTTATCCACCAGAATGCCATAAAGTAGAAATATTTCTCAACAACACGTAAAGTAATAGACATGTTTATCCACCAGAATGCCATAAAGTAGAAATATTTCTCAACAACACATAAAGTAATGACAAGTTTATCCACCAGAATGCCATAAAGTATAAATATTTCTCAACAACACATAAAGTAATGACAAGTTTATCCACCAGAATGCCATAAAGTAGAAATATTTCTCAACAACACATAAAGTAATGACAAGTTTATCCACCAGAATGCCATAAAGTAGAAATATTTCTCAACAACACATAAGGTAATGACAAGTTTATCCACCAGAATGCCATAAAGTAGAAATATTTCTCAACAACACATAAAGTAATGACAAGTTTATCCACCAGAATGCTAAAAAGTAGAAATATTTCTCACTTTACATTTTAGATTATTGGTTAAAAAGGTGTGAACTAAACTATAGACAAATATTAGCTTTTTATGTGTGAGTGTGTGTGTGTGTATATATTATAATAGTATATATCATGGTTTTACTAGTTTGTCTGGTTGTTTGCAGTTAACAGAAACAAACTTTAGTATTGGTGTGTCAAACGACTTAACATCAGATTTAAAAAGTAAAAAAAAAAAATGCAGGAGACTGTTTAGTGAATGGTAAGAAGAGATTTGTTTCTTTTGGATTTTAGCAGTTTTATCTTTTCATCTCAATTAACAAAGTTGTACAATTCTTTTACTTGTTTTGTTAGTTTTTTGTTTTTGTTAGGTTTGCGAGTCTTTAATTTCATTTTCTTAATACACACCAGTAGGTTGTTTTAAAATAGTCTTATTTAAATATTAACTATTTTCTATCTTTGTCAATAACATCTTCTGGATCCAAGTTTTGATATTGTATTTCTGCATACTTACAGAACCTCCCAGCTCTTGTGTTGAAGATAATGCATGGTTCCTTTGCACCAATAGCTGACCATTACAGTAGTGAACTTCGACAAATGTTGTTAAGCATGCTCCATCGTGACCCTCAGAAACGCCCCACTATCAGACAAATTATAGTTCAGCCAATCATATTTGGCTTGATGTATTGTCTCTATACTGACATTGGAACCATTCCCTGTATATCAAGGTATACAAGATCTTGAAGGAGTAAATAGATCCAACTGATGTTATTTTTTAACTTTTGAAGGTAGATTGACTTAAAGGTGCCAATATTGAATAAACTTGGGTTGCTAAATTGTGGTAAAAATAGTGATTGTTGTGTCTTAGAGATGTTTTTTCTAAAAGGTTAAACGAATGTATAAATACGGGTTACTAGACTGGGTTACAAAAGCGATTGTTGTGTCTTAGCGATGTTTTTTGTAAAAGATTAAACCAATGTATAAATACGGGTTGCTACACTGGGTTACAAGAGCGATTGTTGTGTCTTAGTGCTGTTTTTTGAAAAAGATTAAACCAATGTATAAATACGGGTTACTAGACTGGGTTACAAAAGTGATTGTTGTGTTTTATAGATGTTTTTTCTAAAAGGTTAAACGAATGTATAAATACGGGTTACTAGACTGGGTTACAAGAGCGATTGTTGTGTCTTAGTGCTGTTTTTTGTAAAAGATTAAACCAATGTATAAATACGGGTTACTAGACTGGGTTACAAGAGTGATTGTTGTGTCTTAGAGATGTTTTTGTAAAAGATTAAACCAATGTATAAATTACAGGTTACTAGACTGGCTTACAAGAGTGATTGTTGTGTCTTAGTGCTGTTTTTGTAAAAGATTAAACCAATGTATAAATACGGGTTACCAGACTGGGTTACAAGAGTGATTGTTGTGTCTTAGCGATGTTTTTGTAAAAGATTAAACCAATGTATAAATACGGGTTACCAGACTGGGTTACAAGAGTGATTGTTGTGTCTTAGCGATGTTTTTGTAAAAGATTAAACCAATGTATAAATACGGGTTACCAGACTGGGTTACAAGAGTGATTGTTGTGTCTTAGCGATGTTTTTGTAAAAGATTAAACCAATGTATAAATACGGGTTACTAGACTGGGTTACAAGAGTCATTGTTGTGTTGTAGCGACATTTTTGTAAACGGTTAAAATATTGTAAAAACACAGGTTACTAGACTGTTAGTAAAAAAAAAAAAAGTGATTATTATTTTATTATTATTATTATTTTTTTTAAAGGGTTAATCAAAGGTGTACTTTCACTTTAGGTCTTCCCAACGTCCCTCCTTTTCTTCTCCTGTCCAACTACAAGGGTTTGCTAATGAACATCCTGACAGTGCATTATCTGGTGAATGATTTGTATTAGTAACATAGTGGTAGCATTTTATTAAAGTTATCGATAAATTGATCATCTTTACTCTCTTTATGTATTTTTACCATGAGAGTCAGTGTCATAGAAGCTATCAGCTCTTAGTATAAATGTAAAGTTTGGTGCATGCTGTAAAAATGATTTTTGTAACTACAGAAGGCAACCATCTGCAACTGTCCTGATTGTTTAAATGCAATCTTCGGTGCATGCTGTAAAAATGATTTATTTAAGTAAAAAAATAAAGTAGTAACTGTTCTTCAACAAATATCTAATCCAACAAAATACTTTAGAATTTATATATAATCATTAGCTAACATTTATTTATCAAATAAAAAAATGTTGAAAATGTTCCAGGTTTCAATATTTGTGCATTTATTGATTTTTGTTTTTAGAATTTTCAGTTCTTCTAAAAATATGGTTTACATTTGCTAAGAAATGATTTACCCTGTCAGTATAATGATCCATGCATTGTGTTTCCTGCAATTTTTCTTCTCCATCAGTGGTTATAGCATGTGGTCTGAACAGTGATTAATGAAGCTAAGGTTTGAAAAAGCTAGAGCCAACAGCTAAAACAAGTTGCTTAGAAGAGATTCTAATCTATCTTATTCAGTATAATGAAAACTGTAGCACTAATGTGTGACTTATTGACGTATTAGCTACCCAAAGCTCCCATAGGGATGATGAATTGCCACAAGTATTCGTGATCAAGTCTGATAAGCTTAACCAAAAAAAAAAAAAGAATTTGTATTATCAAATCAGCTTACCATCACTTACTGGAGTTGTTAAACCCAACTAAATGTATTTAATGTCTTGATACACAATATTATTTCTGTAGCTTTCAAACTTATATAATTAAACATGAAAACATTTTCAGGAACATAAAAATCCTCAATAGAGACAAGAACATTCCAAGATTGGTGGTTTGTTCCACATTAGAATACAGATAAAAATAACAAAAAAAAACATTGCAAAAACTCATAAAGATCTTCAAAATGACATTATCATTAACTTTGTCAGGATTTGTAATGTGACGGAAGTGTGTTTATGAATATCAAAGAAGATGAAACTGATTGGATGTATAAAATGGAACATTCTGATAAGTAATAAAATAATTTAAGTTCTAATAAAGATAGTATTTTAATTTTTTTTTCATAAGTCTTGAAATTTCATAACCGAAAATATGATAGAAATACTAAATCAAATTGTATGAATTATTTTAAAACAGAAACTGTAAACTTTTTAAAAAGTTTATACTATGTTTCCTGCAATTTGGTTAAATTTTTCTGCTGTCAGGATGGATAGAATCAGGACACCCCTTTGGTCCAAAAAACATAATTTCACCAGTTTTATAAATATATGTTTAAAACTAATTTTGCATCAGATTAGAGAGATTGAACGTGCTATACTAAAATTATTTTAGTCTCGCCATGTCATTACAGTCCATGTCACCACATCTGATCATGCTTTGATGATTGTACCCTAATGACACAGTTTTCATAGCTTTGTCATAAAGTTTTCATGCACCAAAACACACCCCTCTTCTCTTCCTGCTTTTCATAATCCCTCAAGTGTGTGAGGATGACAGTTTCTTATTGCCTGTTTCAACAGTCTGATTGCATTGTAATATGTATAAGCTGAATGTGGTGACTTTATATAGAATTGCATGAATAGCTATTTTATTCTTCAGCTGTTTGAGGTATGTGATGGTTGAATGGGTATATTATGGAAGCAACTCGTGTACGAGTGACTTGTGCCACTTTTCCAGATGGAAGTCTTTGCTGATTATGTTGTGTACTGATGCCTGGGGTACATGGATGGCTTTTCCCACTGGTCTTTGTGTTCATGGTTTCTCATTTGTTACAAAATGCCATGGCTAGTGTATGACTTATTTTAGGTCTCTTCCTAGATGGAGCTGGTTCCCCACATTAATCCATTTTCCTTTGCTTTCCAATTCTATTAAGTACAAGGGATATCTCCATTTTGGAGATTCTTATCTCCAAATCTGAATGCATTTTTATGATCTGAGTGTATGAATGTTTTGTGTCAAAAATGGTTGTTACACACCCTTCTCAGAAAAGTCATATAGGATGACTTACTCATTTACATATTCAAAATTGTTTTAATATAAGATACTCAACCCCCTGTACTTGTGGGTCCATAATTTTGTTGGTTGCAATGTCTTTAATTGTATGTAAATAAAAATTCTATACACATTGCAGTTAATTTCACTAATTAATACTGAGTTCTATGTATTTTAAGTAGAAAATAAGCAACTTATAAACACGGAGTGTTGTAACTGGGAAAAAATAAGATGGCTAAATATAATGCAATATGTGGACCTCACCATTAATAAATGCTATAAATAAAAACAGTCCAATAATATAAGGGTTAAAGGTTCTTGGAATTTGTGTTTCAGTTAGTTATTTTAACTTGTTAAAGATATTTGCCACGTTTAAGTTATTTGATTTGTTTAAAGGTACTATTTGTGTTTTAGTTGGGTACTTTAAGTTTGTTTAAATTACTAAGTTTGACTTTGAGTTAGATACTTGTTTAAAAACGCTCTATGTTTGATTTAGGTACATTTAGTTCATTTAAATTACTCACTAATTGTGTTTGAGCTAGATACTTGTGATTTTTTTAAATTTCTTTTTGCATTTGTGTTAGGTACTTTAAATTTGTTTCAATTATTCATTGTTTGTGTTTGAGTTAGTTACTTTTAATTTGTTTGAAGGCACTCACTGTTTGCTTAAGATCACTTAGCTTAATCCCTTGTTGTATGATTCATAGATTCCAAAAAATGTTTTAAAATATTGGGATTTTGTTATTGATGTTGATTTCCATAATCAAAGTGAAGTCAGGTTTCACCGAGATCCTAGTATAATCGAAATATTTTGTTCATCAACTGATAAATTTTACTTAGAAAGTTAGTAATGCACTGAATGTGTAAGCTTAACGAATACTGAAGACAACTTAATGATGCAAGGAAACTTGAAAATAACATATTTTAGTGTTTGAGCCCTACTCAACTATTGCTCTTGATATGAGTGTGTTAGAGAAGCATTATTTGACTCTTTCCAGTCTTCATGGATAATGATAGGTGTGACTAAAGCTAAAAGTAATCTATCCTGTAGCTGCTAGTAAAAACATTTGTTTACCAATATGAGAAAATCTGAGAAATCATGATATTTGTCTCAGTTTTCTTAAATGTATATGGATATAATTTATCCTATGAATTAATTGTAACTTGTTTCGTATGTTACTTTTATTAAGTTCCAGTTAAGTTCCATGTATTTATTTCAGAATTGCTTTATTTAGTTCAAAAAGACTTTTCTGCGAAAGATGGGGAGTGCAAGACAGAGTCAGTTGCTGCATGCTCTGCTGTGTACTACTGGGGTGGAAGTTACTCCACTCCCCATCACCTCCCACTGCCATCTAGTGACACAGAAATAGTTAGCATTTCACTGGGTAGAACCCAAATGGCTGGACTAACCAGGGATGGCCGAGTTGTTTTGTGGAAGGTAGGAGAGGTATATCCATGTTTCCTTAACTGGTGTTTGTTGATAAAAAAGATGTGTTTGTCTTTATTTAATCTACAATTTCATCAGTACTAAGAGAAGGTAACGTGTTTGAGCTTTTTAATTGGAACCTTAAACTAGTATCATATAATTTCAGTATACATTATTAAAGGAGAAATTTCTGCATTGAAACACACCAGTTACTAATTACCGATTAAATCTATCGTCTACGACAATGATGGCTGATGATCATTACAAAAAGTTTAATTTTAAATTGTTAGCCAGTTTTATTGATATGAAGAGAGAGATATCTTATTTATGATAATTGCCAAGATAAAAAAAAAAAAGATATACAACTTTTAATTCTCTATGTTTACATTTTTGATTACTTCATAGTTATGGTTCCAATAATTATTTCAGTGCTGACCTTTTAGCCACCTTTTTGGACATCCCAAATCTGTGCAATTCAGAAAATTTATTTCAAGTGGCACAATTGGCCTTTTTGTTTTTGCTGTGTATGATTTGTTTTTCAGCCAAACTTGCATCCCGGCCACAGCTTTGGATACCACTACTTTTATAGTAAAGTTGGAATTTTTCCTTTTTTGTAGTATGTGCTAGGTGTACTAATGCCCAAAAACTTCACTTAAGACTGTTATCAGAGTATTATATTTCAAATTACAAAAAAATGCTCAAATGGTTTTTGTAGCAGTTGTATTCTATAAGTTGAGGTTGATGTAGAGTACATGGTGAAAATCATTTACAGTTTTTGGGAGAGATGAAGGGAGAGGTGATTAAATGTGCTGAAGGGAGAGGTGATTAAATGTGCTGAAGGGAGAGGTGATTAAATGTGCTGAAGGGAGAGGTGATTAAGTGTGCTGAAGGGAGAGGTGATTAAGTGTGCTGAAGGGAGAGGTGATTAAGTGTGCTGAAGGGAGAGGTGATTAAAGTGTGCTGAAGGGAGAGGTGACTAAATGTGCTGAAGGGAGAGGTGACTAAATGTGCTGAAGGGAGAGGTGACTAAATGTGCTGAAGGGAGAGGCGACTAAATGTGCTGAAGGGAGAGGCGACTAAATGTGCTGAAGGGAGAGGCGACTAAATGTGCTGAAGGCCACAGTGGTAATGCACTATATGTTACTACCACCTTTTTTACAAAAGCCCTGTAGTGATGTTTCCGTAAGATCAGGCTTCCTTGGAGAACCTATGTATCATTGTTTCCTTTTCCTGCTCTCTGTAAACTGGTTAATGTCTTTGACTTATTTCTTCCAAACACCTACTTAAGCAGACTAAAGACTCAAAAGTCCATTGAAGTCACATTAGCAAACTAGACATATATATGTTCGAACTAGATTGCTGTGGTTCCAGTTTTTTGGACATCCTTCTCTTGAAAATGGAAATTTGTGAACTTTGTGTGCGAGAGTCTTTGTTAATTTCAGATTCTTTTTTAATATTATCTTGTTGACAGTAGGTATGTCCAGCATCGTTGTTTTGTATTGGTTATGTTTCTTTTGTCACCATAGTTTCACTTTAAGATGGGGGGTGATGGTCCAGATTGGGTTGAGATATGGATTTTAGAACCCTGTGTTTCCCTAAATTTTCTGCTGTGTGAATTTCTTTGCTTCTGTGGATAACATTAAATACCCCTTCTTGAAATCCTGCTCGTTCTAGATTTTTACGTAATTCCTAAGGAGACTGTGTCATTTAAGCGTCTAACCAGTGTTTAATGTATTACTATAGCTTAAATCATAGGCAGTACACTCATATCCTTGAAAGTGGTGTTTCTGTATTTAGCTTTTTTTTCTTCTAAAATATCAAACAGCATATCGTGGAATTTATGTGGACAGTTCACATTCATGTAGTTTCATTGGTCCTCTATTTTTGCATAAACATAAATACTCTTGCAAAATCTTTTATATAGGTCCTTTTGTTCTTATGATTTTGACATATTGCTTCATTGATTTACTACAATTATTCTTCTATTAACTTAAACATAGACAAAGGAAAAGGAAGATACTACAGGAACCACTCAGGCCAAAATTTCAATTTCTGATTCTTCAGTGTTTTACCCAGTTTTTTTGGAAGAGAAGGCTGGCGTCCACATAGTACAGATCGTGTGTGGGAACCTCTTTACTCTGCTCTTAACAGGTAACTTACTTATATATATATATATATATATATGCATGAGTGGGGGTCAAAGTACACATGCTGTGAGTTTTTACAGAGTGCCATTCAACATATTATTATGTATTTGATCTCAGAGTTATGATCTATTCATTTTACCCAATATTACTGATCTATTGGAAGTTCGCTGTGGAGGAGAGTAAATACCAGATACAGTGTACAGAGCTACTAAAAAATACCAGATACATTGTACAGGGCTACTGAAAAATACCAGATACATTGTACAGGGCTACTGAAAAATACCAGATACATTGTACAGGGCTACTGAAAAATACCAAATACAGTGTACAGAGCTACTGAAAAATACCAGTTACGTTGTACAAGGCTACTGAAAAAAACCTGAAGATATGCATTCCAGAGGTTCTAGATGTTATGCAAATTCAATATGCAAACTGTATGATGGACAAAAGTATTTTTATTCTTCATGTGAACAACCTTGCACTCTGACTTGAGTAGAAAATTTCTGTAACACATCTGATTTTTTTGTGTACAACAGACATACATTTTACTAAAAACTTGCCACATTTTGTGTAGACACGCAAAGTAAATTAGTAATTATGATCAATATTCCGTTCTCTTATAAGAGGTTAGCCCATTCTTGTGCACAATCAATTAATCTGCTAGTGTACATTCCAAAGTTTTCCTTATGGTATATTCCATTTAGTTAAAATTTCAATAAAGATTTCGTCCTGAACACGTTTAGCCATTAACGGAATGTGTAGCTTTCATTTCTTTCTCCAACATAAATATATTATATTTATATATATTCCATGTTGATTATATGGTTATTACATGCATTCTTCCAGGACTTGTTGTGTAGTTTTTGTGACAGAAAAGTATTACCAGTATTATACTTTTCATCTGGTATTGCTACATTTTTCACTTGTGAAGTACGTTTTCAATAGAGATTATCTAATTTAATGTTTACCGATTGTGTGGATTACATTCCTGAGCTAAAGCTATGTGAGTAAATAAACATCAGGTCTTCATGAATTGTATCTGTCAAAAAGAAAGTTTGATAAAGGAGTGTAGGGAAAACAAATCACTGTGTGGAGATCCCAACCTCCACAAAGCACACAAATTTTAATTACTTAATAAAACCTTCAGTCATTGATGGAGAAATCTCTCTGCATATACCAGAAAACACCAAATACATAAAATTCAAACCATCAGTTTGGACAGAGGTTATTCAGTCTGGTACATGGAGACACAACATGTTGCAAAACATTAACAAAATTCTTTGTGATAAGATGCTGGGTTTAAAAATGTATTCAACACTTTCTTGACACTCTCAGTTGGTACCGAATATTATGAAAAACAATTAAGTGACAGTGATATACATGTTTTTATGCTAATACATAAGCTATTAAGTATGTAAACAGCTATTTGGTTAACTAGGAATAATTTACAACACAATATTTTTGTAACACTGCCATTCCGTCCAGGGCTTTTCAATCCTAAGGATTTAGGCTTTCTGTTAATAAAGATTCTCAGAAACTGATTAGTATTGCAAGGTAGAAAGAAATCTGACCAATTTAATTAATTTTTTTAATATTTGAATACATTTATTATTTATTAAGTACAATGTCCCCAGTGGCTCGTCTGAAGTCTTATAATGCTGAAAATTGGATTTTGATACCTCTGGTGGGTACAGCACAGATAGCCCATTCTGTAGCCTTATACTTAACAAGAAACAAACAAAACAAATAAATAAAATCAAATTTCTAAGTAAACTAATATAGTTTTTACACAATATTTTGAAACTTCTTTAAGTGATATGTATAATCAGTGTGTATTATGTTATTCAACTTTCCAGATCGAGGCATACTCCTAAGTTTTGGAAGTGGCTCCAACGGATGTCTCGGACATGGTGATTACAATGATGTTTCTCAGGTAAGTTGGGCCAGCCGTGGCCTAATGGTTAGTGTGCCTGACTGTGTACTCATAGTTTACATCTTGTTGTTGCAGAGTCTTGCTTACATTTTGGGGAAGTGGGTGAGTTATAAGAGAGATGGTCAAATTGGTTAAAGTAGTCCAAAAGTTGGTGATGGATGTTGCTGACGATTAGTTCAAAATTTGTACAGCTTTACATGACCATCTAAAACATTAGCTTCTTATGATGAACCTTCACCAGTATTATATTATTATTATATGTGTAAATTCTCAATAAAGTGAACTTTTGAGACTAAACGCTGCATGAATCGACAGAGCATTGCAAAACTTCATAAAGATTGTTTTAATTTTAAACATTTACTTGAAATAAAACTGAACAGCAGTTGGTGGTACAGTTTCAGTAGTCATCAATGCTACAACAGTCCTGTTTAAAAGATTAAAATATTATTAGATCATCAAGAAATTAATGTCACCTTTTTTAGATGAAAAAAACCCGAACAACTTGTATATTAAAAAAAAACATTTATTAAATGAAATAGTCTCCATTCTTATCGATGATGCTTTTGCATCTTACAGTCATGTTGTTAATGCCCTGTTTAAAGAAATCACTTGGCTTTGAAGCAAAAAACATGTTGATGTCCTCTTTAACACCTTCCACATTTGCGTATGTTTTCCCGTTAAGATGATGTTGCAGTGAACGAAAAAGATGGTAATCTGATTGTACCATATCTGAAGAATATGGTAGGTGGAGAAGAACTTCCCAACCCAACTCCATAATCTTGTGTTGCATCAAACGTGTCACATGTGGACATGTATTGTTGTGGAGAAATACAACACCTTTCTGACTGACGAGTGAAG